CGCCAAGAATGCCATGTCATCGTTGACAGGTACTGCGGGAATTCTCAAAGAGGCTCCGGCTGAGGCTTTCGATATCCTCTTCTGCCCGGGGAAACCCGCGGTCAACTATCTGTTTTTCGGCGACTCCTTCAATGCATTGGTCAAAGATGGAGCAAAGACAGATGTTGGCACCATCATCAAGGAGAATAAGCGGACGCTATTTGGGCACAAGCACGAGGTTTGGTCCGAAATGACATGGGGCAAAGGACTGGCGGAATCTCTTGATGCCGCTGAGCGGGCAATGCTAAAGCTCGCCGAAAGGCCTGAGCCCCGGCCGTACGTCATCGTGATCTCCTGGTCTGGAAATGATGTTGTCGGTCGTAACGGTTACATCGACAACCCCGCCGCCCTAGCGGGCTGGGCCACTGACTCCGAGGCAAAGCGGAAGGCTGCGATGGACATCATCGAAAGGAACGCACGAGCAGTGATGACTGTCCGTGACCGGCTACGCCATATTGCTTTCCGGGAAGACGTGGTCCAGGTCGTGCTCATCGTACCTCGGGACTTTGAGACGTATGGATTGAGTGAATCTTATAAGACTCAAATGGACGGTCATGCACGTTTGTTGCATGGTTCCGCGGGAATCACCGTCCTCGACCCCCAGACTCTCATATCCAACACGTCCCGGGCAGACCGCATCCACACCGATGACACCGAGCGCAACAGGAAACACTACATCAATTACTATGTGGCCGCCGCGAAGCTCGGGTACTGCATTGGCCAAATCAACCGCTTCGAAATGGCGATGAATTGGTACCGCCTCGAAAGGGAATACATGAATATTGACACATCAATCCCGATCGTTGGCGCTACACCCCAGGAAACTGGCGGTCCGGCAATTGCAAAGAACCCTGAGGACCCTTTCGACAATGAGGTCCGTGAGAGGGAGTTGGAGGCGATCAACGAAATCGCCGCGCAAGAGCCGAAGCGCGAGGTTTTCCTGGAGACTGAAAAGGAGGCGAACCCCCTCTACCCCCTTGACACCGTCAAGGAGGAAGCAAAGATCTTGCAGATGATGCAACCCGACATTCACGCGGCGACCGTCAGCGGCCTCAACGATGTGATTGATTGGTCTTCTTCTTCGGATGAGGAGGACCTGATCAGCTTCGACCTGCCCCCTGGCTCTCAGCCTAAGGTCAGCCGGCCGAAAGGCCAGGCCGTCGAGGTTGCCGCAGTGGATCCGAACGACATCGGTGAGGACGGCCAAATCAAACTCATCCTCACTTCCAAGCGGAAAAGTCATAACAAAATGACTGCAGCTCTCAGTGCTGCGACACCAAAGGTGAAATCAAAGGCAATGCCAACGCCTGCTGCCTCATCCAGCGATCAGGCGTCCGGGGCTGGGACCAGCAAGACTCAGCCCGGAGAGATCCGTGGCCCGGAGATCACCCCCAAGGCGAAGGCAGCTGGAAAGCCCGGGGAGACCCGTGGCCAGGCTGCTGAACCCAAGAGGGAGTGGATCAAGTGCTCAGGAATCAAGATTCCCCAGATCCAGAACTATGGCAGAAGGACGTTCTTGAGCAAGAAGGTGTCGTATTTGGTTCGCGGACATGCCCACGAACATGCGACGCGACCCATCCCTGAGATCAATCTCAAGGACAACTCCTTCGACTACGCAGCCGTCGCCAAATGGATCCAACGTCGATATGACTGGAACTGCTCCCAATACACTCTTCTTCAGGCCACGTCCACATCGAATCGGTTCGAGGTCTATGTCGAGTACGCGCCGGCCGGGCAGCAATGGAACGGGCTCAGTTTCATGCCACTACGCATTCGCGCGTTCACCGGCCACAACGATTGGGTGACCGAGGCCAGCGGCTTTGACAATATTCCTGGAGATCCCATTGCAATGGATGTCAATTACACCATTGAGCACGCAAAGAAGGGTGTGCGACCGGGCTTCTGCAAAGATTTCTCGGACGCACGCCGAAAGGCGCTGCCCAAAATCGCCTACCACACGTGCAACATGCAGAATTTCTTTGACATCATCTACATGGGCATCTTTCCGGGCGGAATGGGAGACCGGCAAACCTCGCGTGGTCACGCCTACCTGACGGTAGTGCCTCCTTGGGACAGGCATGGCCGGAAGGCGGGGGGTGCGCGTGCCGACCGACCCATCAACATCGCCGTCGATGTGGAGATGTTGATCCAATTGGGATGTCGGCTGTACGCACCCGGAGACGGGGAAGCCCTGGTGACGGAGGATTGGATCACGAACAAGGTCCTCATTTACGCCTATGACGCTGAATGTGCAAAGTTTATCTGGTCCAACCGGATGTACGTCAGCGTCAGACGGAACTACCAGGACAGCATCAAGAAGTATCGGGAAGAGACCCAGAAGGGCGTTGTCGGGACCCCAGTGCTGGAGTCGTTCATGGCGAAGGCTGAGAAGAAGTGCAAGCTCTATTACAAACAGTGGGCCTCGACAGCGTGCCGCGACATGACGCGGCCCCACCGCATTGGCAATGTGACGAAGGTCAGGGACGTCTACGACGAGAACCTCCCGAAAGAAGAGCAGGTCGCGCTTGAATTCGAGACCGCCCGCTATGGCCTCTACAGGAACTGGGCCCGAGCTGTGACGCAGCAGCCCGGGGAAACCCGAGGCCGGAGTGGTTTGTGGCAGGACTTGGATCCCAACAAGCAGAAGTCGACAAATTGGCGCTTCGCGGAGGTCATGCACATCCCCGACGTTGAGTGCCCTCGCTGCAAAATTCTCATCCCGGTCGGCACCATCAACTGTTTCCAGTGTGACCAGCTCATGGAACGCATGCCCGATATCAAGAAGATAGCCAGGGTCGTCCGTTTGCAGGAGATGGCCAACAGCTTGGGCGTGCCGCTTTCCATGGACCAGGTTGAGACTCAGATATTGACGCAGCGGAAGGATGCGCGGGGGGATCGAAGCGCAAGAGGGGGCCTCGGCATCATGAAGGACATCGCCAAGAAAGCGGTTCTTCGCAACAAGGAGTACACCACGCTGTACGAGAGGCTGATCAATGACCCCTTCTACGCCTACACTGCCGCGCGGGGAGACCTGACGCCGTCCGCCCTCGAGTTTATCGAGAAGGTGGCACGATGCATTATTCCGAGTTTCGTGAGAACCAAGGAAATGATCCAAGGAAGCGTTGCTGTGCCGAAATATCACGCACGGCTAGCGCTGGTGCCGCCAACGGAGGACGTGCAGGAGGTCGACCCGAAGGACGTCTATGTTGTGCATGGTGGCAGATTTCTGGAACCAGAACAATTTGCTGCATTGTATGGAAGCCTTGACAAGAGCAACCGCTACCCCGTGATGGGCTGGACCCGGGATTTCTCGTCTGTGGGAGACCCCGAAATGGTATTGGTTGAGTTGCTCTGCTTCGTCGAAGAGGAGATCCCCAACATTGAGATCCCTGGACGAGCCACCCCGCTCCCTGCAGTTGTCGGTGTGACGCGCAAGCCCATTCCGCAGCTCCGGGAGACCGGTGGCCAATGGCAAGATCGTCAATGGAGCCAGTCGTACTGGGGAAGCTGGGGCCAATCCTGGGACTCGTGGTGGTCTGATGATCAGCGCCCGTGGAAGAGCTCCCGCAATTGGGATTGGCGATGAATGAGCGATCTCTTCAACAATCTTTTCAATCTTCGGCTGACATCCATTTACATTTCAAATTCAATTTTCATGATACTTCTCAATCATGTTGGCCGAGGATCAATGTACAGTGCATGAGCACGCCTCGCGAGAGCGACGGTCAGTGGAGGCGGAAGACCTTAACTGCCGATTGCTCACATTCAAGTGCTTATGTGCTGCAAAAGGACTTCATGCCTATCGGGTTTCTTTGGTTGTTTCATCCCTTTCATTTGTCCTCCTGTTTCACATTCGGGCACGGGGGGTGTAGTTTGCAACGTGATGTATTTATCGACCATGTTAAACCCCAATGCATGAATGTCTCACTTGTGCAGTCTCATCATTACGACTGCATACGGCTCAAGGAAAAAGCGCGCTGTGTACAGGGTTCAATTGTGACCCTTCCCGGTTGTTTAACCTGTTCTATAGCAACGACAGCGACAACGGCAACAGCAGCAGGAGCAGCAGCAGCAGCAGCAGCAGCAGCAGCAGCAGCAGCAGCAGCAGCAGCAGCAGCAGCAGCAGCAGCAGTAATAACAACACCAACAGCAACAACAGCGACAGCAACAGCAAAAGCAACGACACCACCAACACCAGCACCAACAATACTGGTAAGAAGACGATGGGCGAGGAGAAGAGGAACGAGAAGGAGGACAAGAAGAAGAAGAAGGAGAAGAAGAAGAAGAAGCAGAAGCAGAAACAGAAGAAGAAGCAGAAGAAGATGCAGAAGAAGAAGAAGATGCAGAAGAAGGAGAAGAATAAGAAGGAGAAGAAGAAGAAGCAGAAGCAGAAGCAGAAGAAGAAGCAGAAGAAGATGCAGAAGAAGGAGAAGAATAAGAAGGAGAAGAAGAAGAAGCAGAAGCAGAAGCAGAAGAAGAAGCAGAAGAAGATGCAGAAGAAGGAGAAGAAGAAGAAGCAGAATAAGAAGATGCAGAAGAAGGAGAAGAAGAAGCAGAAGAAGAAGCAGAAGAAGAAGAAGAAGAAGAAGAAGAAGAAGAAGAATAAGAAGAATAAGAATAAGAAGAATAGTATTGGAAAACAGGAGACCAACGAACCGAATGGGAGGTAAGAAGCGAAGAACGATGAGCATGAAATCAAAATAGGAAGCAGAAGAGCAAGAAAAGATAAGAGAGCTAGTATATATACAAAGAGAAAACAAAAACAAAAAATCAGAGGAGAGACACAATGAGCATAAGAAAGAGGACAACGACACGAAAGACAATAAAGCTAGCGAAGATAAGGCAGATAATGCATGATATTTATGTAATTTATGTATGTGTATACTTCAGCAATAGTACAACATTTGTTGAAGGACGCACACAATCAGTGGGAGAGTTCTTGAGGTGACACATCTTGAGAGGTACGGATCATCGGAGCCAGGGGGCTGAGGGCGGCCGACTTTTCCCTCACGAGCTGGCGACTTGGAAGACGCCGAGGGGGCTGGCAGGGGGGCAGGGGACTGAGCTGGGGAAGAGCTCTGGCCGTTGCTTGTGGAGCTCCAGCAACCACCAACCCACTGGGGCCACTTAAGTCACTTGGCCAGAGCACTGGGCACAGGTCCACTTGGCACGTGAGCGGCCAAGGAACACCTCTGACCCCTACTGCGTGTGCGAATCGGGCTCCAAGAGTTTCAAGACGCCAGTCATAGACAAGACCTTGGAGCCCTTCTGGGACTACGAAGGAGGGGCGAACGGCAGACAGCAGACGGCACAGGGTGGTGGGACTAAAAATGGTGCATCTCTGGGTTCTTCTTGAAGTGAGCATTCTCAACTCGGGCAGACAGGCGTCGCAGCAAGCCTTGGGATTGAAGAAGAGGGTCCACTCTAGCGGTCGCACCTTTTGAGTCATGCTTGATGGAGCTTGCGCGCGAGGCGTCCTCAACCACTACAAGGTCGGGTCGCCCCTGAAGTTTACCGTCTATGACAAGGATTGGAGCTACAAGGACGGGCCACCTTGCAGAAGGTGATGAGTGGCGAAAGGATGGGTACCCGAAAGAAAAGGCCTGGACGGGAGCGTCTTTTTGTACGCCTAGCATCATTTTGAAGCGGCTTGCTGATTTTAACGATCGAAAGAGGGCAACTCGAATTTGTTCACACAAAATATTTGGTGTTGTTCTGGATCGTGCCAGGATGATGAGCTGGGCCATGTGACCTTGCAGCTTGGCGGGATGTCGGCTGTGGAATGACATGCTTGAGGGGCCATTGTGAGACAGGAGCAACCTTTGACATGCCCCGCCCAAACTTAACCCTTTGGCGGCAGATGCGACAAGAATTGGTGAGGGTACCTGACCTTCCCCTTCCTCTCCCCTCCCATCCCCTCCCATCCTCTCTCATCCCCTCTCAGCCCCTTTCTCATTCTTTGTCATCCTTTCCCACGCCTGAACCTGCAGCCCTGCAAAGGAGTGGTTCGAAGCTGACGCACGGCTTCGTGGGTGAGCTGCTGCTGGTGGGCGCGGGTGGCAGCCAGGAGGCCTACCTCAAGGCGAGAGGGGGGCGAATTCGGAGGGCCCGAATTCGGAGGGCCCGGCTCTGAACCGGAAGTGGGGTTTGAGATTTGGGGTTTGGGATTCGGTTGAGAGGGAGATTGGACAGAGTCCGGTTGGTCGCCTTCTTTGGATTTCTGTTCGGCGATGTCCTTTGGTGGGCGGAGGGGGGGGAGTTCCTGAATTCAGGTCTAGGACAAATTGCGAAGCCATGAAGATGTTTGGTGCCCGCTTTTGCTCAAAGATGGCAAGTCAGCGATACTTCTTAGTTCAGACATGTTTTTGGTTCGACACCGAGCTGGAACCTGGTCATGCCTTTCGTCGAGAGGTTCTTTGGCAGCTTGTTTTTTGCATGCGCACGCCTGTGTGAAGAGGAAGCGGGAAGCTCCGGTGCTGGAGCGTCATGGCATTGGCTCGGACCTGGACAGAGCAAGCCACATTGTTGGTGTCAGCGTCCTTCGGAGAGTCGCCAAGCATATTTTTTGCGTGCTTTGGCGCAAGCGCTCGCACTTTGCAGGCTATCTATCAAACTTGTTTGCTTTAGCAAGGGGCTAAAGCACATCGCTAGTGCTTGGGAGGAGTCCTCCTCTTGCCAAGCGGAGACACTTTTTTGTGTTGCATTGTTTCTTTTTCTTTGTATGACAATGCGGAACAGGCTGAGTTTAGGCTAGTGTAGGCTGGGTTTAGGATGGGTTCTGGGTTGGTCGGCTTGCGATTTGTTTCGGGTGGTCTTTGGGTTGGTATTGTTGGTTTTAGGTGGATTTGGGAGGAGTTTAAAGGGGATTAGGGGTTGGGTTTGGATGGAGGGCTGTGTTCAGACCCGTGAGTGTGAAACGCATGCCAAAGCAAAGCGGGAGCCAAATGGCCACGGTCACTGAAAGTCGCATTGCAATGACTACTCCCTTGGAATAGTCTGTAATTTTTTCTTGGCTTTCAAGCCAGAAGGCTGTGTTGCCAAACGGAAGTCAGTGACCTGGCTAGGTGGCGGTGGCTGACAGCTATGGTGTGTTCCCGCAGGATCCAGATGACATTGCCGCGTGGCAGGGAGAGGTCAATATTCTTGGTGGTTCCCAGCCATCCGGTTCCTTTGATTTACAGTTTTTTTCAGTTGGTTTAGTGGTTGGGTGTCTATTTATCCCGCTAAAAGTCAGGCTAGCAGGGGATCAGTTTGGACAGCCCAGTATTGGCGGATGGGCGGAAACGCCTTTGTTTCAGGGTGAGGCATTTCAATTTGAACGCGGACCAGCCCAAGTTGATCGACCTTGGCCTTCGCATCAACCTGCAAGTGGAAAATAGCTTTACAGCGTACTGGTCGATTCTTAACAAAAAAGAGGATTGGGTCGTTCTGCACAGGAGCCTCGGGCCCAATGTGCAGGCCACCCTCCCCTTTGCATAGGGAGCTTTGGCTGTGGCAGTTTCCACCTGAAAGGGTTGCAACGGCTTGGGAAGCCGACAAAACCAACCCGTTTAGGGGCCTTTTGATCCAGGACACCTTGCTACTAGACGGGAACGGTCTATTAACCAAGTCGTGGTCTTCAAGATTCCGACCAGTCACACTTGATCCTCAGATCGCCACTCGACCGACCACACTTTAGATCACCAGCAATTTGCATCTGCCTTCTGCGAAAAGAAGCTTGAGTCCTTCTGAAAGACTTGCGCTTCCGAGATGCTCGAGCCGCGTCTAAGGGCGGCTCCAAGCTCAAGGCCCGGCACATTCGGCGCTTCGGGGGACGGGCACGAGGCAGGCAAGTGACAACCCACAGGGGTTGCACCCGTGGTTCTAGCGCTTTCGCAAGAAGCCGAGTTTTTGGAGAGAGTTTCCACTTGGGGATCAACCCAGAAGTCAAGAGTTTGACAGCCCTGTGAAGGATTCCTGTTGGTGTTTGGGGAGCTTGATGGGACATGTCAGGAGCTTTGACTAAAGCGACATCTCCAGCTCCCATTGGAAACTGGATTTGTAGATCCATTTGAGCGGCGTCCAAAACCTCCGTGTACATGATTAGTAAGAGTCGTGTCATATCGACCTGTGCGTAAGCAAAAAATCCACGTGCGTAAGGTGGCGTAAGCTAGTGGCGCAAGCAAAACCTCCAAATGTGTCGCGTAAGGAAAAACTCCACGCGCGTAAGGTGGCGTAAGCTAGTGACGTAACCAAAATGATACGACTTAGCAAATCATGACACGTTTAGGACATGGCTGATTTGGAGAGAGGCAAACAGGTGACATATTTTTTTTGTCGATTGCGATCCATGCGCAATTGCCGCGAGAGACGGCAACATGTAGTTGGCCGAACTGTTCTCGCTGTGGCTCTGGGTGACCGAAAAGAAAAGCACATCGGCTGGAACATGTTTGACCCTTTTCGCTGGTTCTTTTCCCAAAATGTCCATGATATCGAAGAGGTTTTGCGAACCGAAGTGATTTTTCCGATTGAAGAGGTTTGCCAGTTTGCTGGTTTAAGTTTGGGCTTTTTAAGGAGGGACCAAATCCTGAAGTGTGCAAAGTTTCGTCACTTGACGTGCTGTGGTTTTTTAAGCCTACACCAAGGACTTTTTGGACAATATGTTACGCCCAAACCCATCACCCATGTTGGTCTTTTGGGGTGTGGAGCCTCCGAACCGCGCTAAGAACCGAGGTTCGAATGAACGGGGCCCGCGGCTTCGTGGATGCCCAGAAAGGCTTCTTCGGGCGGGAGGTGTCCTGCCTCTACGCCAAGTGCACCTTGGCATTGCCTCAAGAGCTTTGGCCGGTGTGATTTCTCGCTCAAAGTCGGAGATCTTCGGGCAAAGTGGGGCATCAAGAACTTCGGGACTCATGTCCGATTCTGGCAGGGTTCACGGGTGTTGGTCGCAAGCAACTTCGGAGCCAGCAGGGATGCGCTGAGCACGAGCCCCCGCAACTCTGGTTGACATTTCGTCGATGGGCAAGCATCCATCTGTTAGCGCAACAGGCGAGATCCCGAACCGGGCGCGTTGCTCCATGCGCTCCCAAGCCATCGAGCACTCTGGCGAGCCAGAGTGGCAGCCTGGCTTTTGGAAGTCGCGGAGTTTGGGGCCTTGGGGCCTTGGGGGGTACCGTTTTGGCGGAGGTCAACAGACCGGAAAGCAAGGTGAAGAGGGGTGAGAACCTCCATTTCATTGGGTCAGCCTGAAAGCAAGTTGAAGCCCTGTTGAGAGAAAGGCATTTGCATGAGAGCATTGCAGTGATGTGGCCTCATAAACCATCTCTGTCTCAATCTCTTTCTTTCTCAGTGTATCTCTGTGTCTCTCTAATTGCATAGTTGTACACATATACATCGGATTTGCTCATAGTAGAGAGCAAGAGAGGGAGAGAGAGAGAGAGAGAGATACCGCCGCATTCGCGGAGGAACTACGAGCGGCACATGTCTGGCTTCAAACAAGGCCGGGGCTCGAGCTCGTGCCATGCCGGGGGTGAAGGTATTTTGAAGGTTCATTCGAGCATACATATCTTCGGAGCAGAGTGAGATTTTGGACTTCGACTCCCCGGGGGTTGCAGCATGCATGCGTTTTTTTTGATCCTCACATTTTTTTTCGATCCGTAAACGCCATTGAGTTGTCGTTTGCTGACGTGCAAGGTCAAGTTGGTGTTTTTTTTTTTTGGCAGGCTGCAAAAGAGCTCGGGGTGCCGGCGCCAGGAGACTCGCTGGTCATCAGCGTGCTGCACGAGAAGCACGGCGCTGGGAAGGCGAGCCGTTGGAGTGTTAGATCTCATGAAGGGTGGGGGCAAAGTTTTTGGGCGCTTGGATCCCATCTGCTCCAGCATTACAATGCGCTGATCAAGCGTGGCCGTGCATTGTTCTTACCTCCTTTTCTGTCATTTGATTGCTACAGTCAAACTCATCCACAGAAGGTCCAGGGAGTGATGACAGGATGTCATGAAGTGAGCCACAGCCATGGTTGAAACCACATCTTCACACACATCTTCCCACACATCTTCCCTCCCACACCGAACGAGGCGTGAAGCCTCGAAAAGTCTTCTTCCATGAACATTCGTGCAAGGTGCAGACAGCCCTAAGAAAACACCTCGGCCGAAAACACATCTCCCCTCCGCGCCTGTTCGGGAGGACGTGGTCTTGGCAACCCGCACGATGAGCTGCGACGAGTTCTTTCCGAAGGGCTTCGCCGGGATGGTGGACCTGGAGCCTCAAGGCGTGGGACAGAAGATGTCGCTGGCTCTGAGGGGAGGAAGGTCTTCTTCGCTGCTCTTGGCGCGTTTTTTTAAGCTTTTTGGTTTTTGGGTTCTGTTCATTTTTACTGGGGGTCTGCAAAAAACAGAGTTTTTGCTACCATACCAAGAGTAGAGATGACTTGTGGAAGCAGCAAGCACACATGCCTGTCAGCCATGCAACTTTGAGTTGGTAGGTTGTTAGTGTTCTTGCAGTTCGGGAGTCAGGACTCATCTTGGCAAGACAACCTGGTTCCGGTTCCGTGTGCTTGTTTGTTGACGTGATAAGGAGCTGAACAAATGCCATGAACTAGCTGGAACATTCGTGGTGGTGTGTGGTCTGATTGGGCAGTGTCACACATTTTGTTGATAAGGGTTGATATTCATTTTGTTGTTCAGCAACCTAGAACTGCTTAGTATTGCTCCTTGATTATTTGATCCCATCTTTGCTCGAAGCTTCGATTTGGATTGAAGGCCTGGTGCTTGGTGCCCAATATCCGTTTCCGCTGACTCCTTGCAAGCAGCAACCTCGCAGGCTTAGTGCTCGGGTTTCACAGTCCGTTTGGTGGTTTGAGATAGGCTGCGAGGCAACAATCTCTTGCATTAGCATCGTTGAATTCGTGACCGCCCTGGCATGAAAACGCGGCTTAGCGGGCTCTCCCCATTTTGCCGTCCGACTTTGGCCATTCTTGTCCGTTTTTGGACAGATAACGAACACACGGAAACAAAAAAAACAAGCACAAACACAAACCCAAACCCACACACACACACACACAACCACGAGCAGAAGCACAAACCCAAACACACATACCACACACACACAGACACAACGCACGCGCGCGCGCGGGTTGCGCCTGCTTTTTTGGTCAGTTCTCTTCGCCCCTCTCGTCGCTTCCGAGGCAGCTCCTGGGGCGGCTCCAAGTTGGAGCTGGGCTCAAAGCCGCAGATGGAGCTGCAGATCTCCGACAGCGAGGTGCGCGGACGCGGGCCACCGAGAAGCTTGGGACTCGTTGTTTTTTCCGCCTGCCTTTTGGCTGGTCGAAATGGTGGCTTTGGTGGGTTCTGATGGCTTCTGGTGGCTTCTGGTGGCTTCTCGTGGCCTTTGGTGGCTTTTGGCAGTTTGCAGCTTTTCTGGGAGCTTTACGCCTTGCAAATCTTGTATTTGTGAAATTGCTTTTTGGCTTCCAATGCTTTGACAGATTCTTGACTGAGTTTGATGCTGTGGTTTGTGAGTTTTTTTGTTGGGTTTGTGGCGCTTCTTTTTGTCCAGCCATTGATGTCTATTATAGTAAACGCTGCGGTGCCGGCCTTGGCCAGGCTCAAAGAGCAATGAGAACAAATCGGGCTTGAGCAAATGATGGGCTGAACAGTCTGGTGGGCTGCAGGGCCAACTGCTGGGTGAGCCAGATCGTCTGGGGTTGGACCATGCCGGGCTCAGCTGCGTTTGGGGCTGTGGGAGCTGGCGAGGCGCTGGCTTGCGCTGAGCTGCTGTGCCAGAAAAAGCAAGGTACGAGCTGAGCTTGTGCTGTGCCACAGGCGTTGATGCTTGGCTCAGGCTTTGGCTTGGGTTAACTTGCCAACTCATGGGGCAGCTCCACGAAGCTGGCCAGTCATAAACGCTTGCGGCACAGCCGTGAGTGGCTAACCCTGGCTTGGCGGAATTCAAACGAGGGCCGACCCAAGAATGGGGGTCCAAGCCTTCCCGTTCTTTGGGAAGAGGTGAAGTTCAGATGCTGCCTTGCTGTTTCAGCCAGCGCGTGTCATGTTTTGAATGTGTTGCTTTTGGCCATTGCTCCCTGCAGCTTGGCTCTTGGCTTGGATTGATCGAAGCTTTGAGTTTAAGCTGGTTCTTTTCAATCTGTTCTTGAAAGAATGGCATGTCAGGTAGGCGGACGATGCTTCCTTCTGATGCCTCCTCATCTAGTCTGTGCGCTAAGCCACCCCGCCGAATCCCACCCTAAACCACCCTAAACCCGCCCTAAACAAACCCCAGCCCAAGCTCTCGCCCTTTCTAAAACCGATCTCGGTGGCCGCAGCTGTCTCCAGGGCAAGTTCCCCAAGCTGGCGGTGCCTGACTCTGCGCTGCAGGCGAGAGGGATGGGGCTTGGGACCGCGCCCGTTGGCTGGTGAAACCCGAAGGCTGTTGTTTGAGTCCCAAGAGACAGGCCCTTGACGAATGGCCGGACACAAACACAATGTTTTCGCTACACTTTTCAAAGAAGAGGTAGCGGAACCAGCAGTGATTTGCAAGCTTGCGAAGAGGTAGACGACTTATGTAACTGTATAATCCAACCAGTCAATCACTGGAACTGCAACACCCTTCACCGCGGTAGATAGTTTCTGAACGAACCGTAGAGTTTTTCGTTGCAAGAACACAACTGACAGTACAACTATTTTCTCCGACTGAGGGGGCTGCATACAAGACACCCAAGATGCCCTCTCCAACAACACGCCCTTGGACCAACCGGAGCAAGGGATGGAGCCATGCTTCCGCAGCATGTTTGGAGATGAGAAGAAGAAAAGCAGTTGTTGAAGGGGGGATCAACATCAATAGCTACCAGCAAAGCCTGGCGCCACCCTGTTTTGTCAGCCGATCCATTCTGCGTCCAGACGGCCACAAAAACAATAGTATTGGCAGGGATTCATGGCTTTGGTTTCTGGAATTTCCATACTCGATTGATCTTAGGCAAAATAGTTTCAGGGCCCAGATGGCTCTTCTTGCCGGGGCAGATTTCAGGCTTGGTGCTGAGGGTTTTGAGGTCATGTTCATGGACCTCTCCAGACTTTTGAGCAACCATGTTCTGGGCTGAAGTCTTCACCAGTAAGTGATCGTGCAGACCATTGAAACCAACCCCCCGACTTTGCCAAGTCTTTCTGGGCTGCCTAACGTGTGAAAAAGGTGGATGGATTCGCCGTATGATCCGCTGGCCTTGCACAAAGCCTCCCAGGTGAAGATCGTGAGTGCTCGCGGCCTGCGAGCGGCGGATACCTACGTCCTGCAGGAGCACAGCTCCGACCCCTACTGCGTGCGCCTGGGCTGGAGTCTAAAACTGGCAAAGGGAGCTTATTTGAACTCTTTGGCGAGGGTCCTTTCTAAGCGTCCTTTTGCCGGTGGGTCAACTCCGCTCAGCTCATTGTCTCACATTGCTCCAGTTGTATGTGAAGCCACCAAAGAACTCCGATTGATTTTGTACCAGAGGCTTAAGTTTGATACACAAGCGCGCAATCATTCCAGTTTTGGAGCGCGCGGCATCTCCCACCGACAGCCATTCATCCAAAGCGCCCTGAGATTGTCGATTTTCTCGAAGGGCAGAACATCCCCATGGCTCCAACATTGCGGATGAGCGACAGGTCCTGCATGCACTTGACGTTTTGCATCCAGGATCAGCTGTGCCTCTGCAGAAACCTGCTTTGACACGTTCGATTTGTTTCTGTGGGGAGGGGAGAAGGCAGGAGTGCCTCCTGTATCATGAGTCAATTTGCTTACTCCCCCCTTGAGACAATTTCGACTGAGGTGCGAGGTGATGGGCAAGCCGTACAGCCGCTTCCGCACCCACACGATCCAGAAGACCCTGGTGCCGTCGCACGGCTACAAAGTATCGCGGGCTAAAGTTTTGGCCCAACCAAACATGAACCGAGTTGGACACCGCGTCCCGTCTTTCTTAGATGTCCTAGGGCATCCATTTGGTTCGTCCAAGAGCCCCATGAAACGCGCTGTGCCTTTGGAGATGCTGGAACGGATGGTCATGCCTTGCAGCTGGGCTGTGTGCACTGCCCACTTCATCCTGCAGGCGCATGGCTTTTCTGCACCAACATACAATATGTGGCATATTAGGACCAACTTGACGAATACACACTGATACTTGTCCTGTGCACTGGAAGTCACAGCAGCTTTCTTCCAGCACCAAAGGTGCTGCAAAACCAGTCAATACAAGATACTATCTCTATCTCTGTTGCTCTCTTGCTGTCTGGCTCTCTATCTCTCTATCTCTCTATCTCTCCATCTCTCTATCTCTCCATCTCTCTATCTCTCTTGCTCTCTTACTCTCTTGCCCCCGAACATTCCGGATTCCGCAAGCGTCATGTGACTCTCAATGTTGCGGTGGCTCATGAGCTCCGACAACTTGACCCAGCCCGCCTCATCGCATCTCACCGCTCTGGCGATATTCGAAGTCCCTCCCATTGGTGATCTCTTTCTCTCTCTCTCTCTCTCTCTTTCTCATTCTCTCTTTCTCATTCTCTCTTTCTCACTTTTTCTCCCTCCCTCCCTTTCTGGATCTCTCGTCGCTTTTTCTCCCTCCCTCCCTTTCTGGATCTCTCGTCGCTTTTTTTTTTTCTCTCTCTCTCTCTCCTCTAGCTCTTTCGCTCGCTCCCTCGCTTTCTCGCTCTCTCGCTTTCTCGCTTTCTCGCTCTCTCGCTCTCTCGCTCGCTCCTTCGCTCTTGCTTTCTTCTTCTCTCTCTCTCTCTCTCTCTTTTTCTCTTGCTCTCTCTGTCTCTCCAACAACAGCGGCCCTTGCAAGTAGGCAGCCAGTTCTGGGTCCCATCTCACAGCCAACTTGCCAGCACTGAGGACCTGGGGTTACAAGCACCGCCTCAGCGGCTCGGCTTGGTTTCTGGAGGGTCCTCGCAAGCGTTTGACGTAGGGCTTGTAAAGTTCTGGAGGGTGATGCAACGAAGCATAGAACGTGGTTGGCACGCCATTTCTCACTCTTCTGGCTTTCTCCTTGGGTCCGCGTGCTACTTGGCCGACCACCCTGAAGTGAAACTTGTTAGAGTTGAACATGGAGGCAATGTGTTTAGCACTGCCAGGCAACAGAAAGGCCTTTTGCAGCCAGCCCCCATCCTGCTGCCTTTCCTACCTGGGTATGCGTCAACACTATGAGTCCTTTTAAATGGTTTGTATTCATGTCATGTGTGATTTCCTCCCCTACTTTTGACACACAGCCATGATCCTTGAGCTGGTCCGCTTACTAAGTCGCCCAGCAAGCAAACACGTCCTAACAATGCATGCAGACATAAATCAGCTTGATTTGGAGGGGCCTTGCCAGGCCTACTTGTACACCTCTCCGCCACCCAAACTATGTATATGATTGATCACACTTGTCGGGGCATGTTGGGGCATGGGGTACAGCTCAGGGAAACCGTGACCCATAGTCCCAAGAGCCCAGAAGCAGAAACAGCTGACTGTGCTCAAGGAGGCTATGCGGAGGGCGACTCCCTGAAGTTCACAGTCTACGACGAGGTGAGGGCTTGCGAAGAGCGTGTTGCCACACACCTGCATTGAATCATTTCGAAAGCGGCTCCTGTTTTCTAGTTAATTAAATTGTGACTGCCAGTTGTCGACAACTTGTGATTCAGGACGCATTTGTTCCAGCCGTTGACTGCTTAAAAGAAAGTGGATACCGCAGACTATGTGCCCAAGTGGTCTGGTTGATGCTGGGTTTGACGCGAGGCAGCTGCCACGCCAGGCTATGCCAGTTAAAACTTGCTTGCAGCATGCCCCCAGGCGCTCTGTTGTAAGTTCAACTCTGCTTGCAATACGCCCACTGCCTGTGCGGTGCTACCTTTTGAGGACATTAGTCCTTGCGCTGTGTCAAGGCAGAAGTGCTCCTCGAACATTCCGCTGTCCGGTGGATTTGCTTCGTGCTTTGTCTTGCCTCTGCTTGCCGCCTCGGGGCTCGCTTGTCCAGCCGCTGCTATTTCCTCTCTGAATTTCTCGCGTCTTCCAGGTGAGCCGTCAGATGGCAGGCAGGCAGCCCTTGCAACAATGAAACGAACCGGCACCATCTTCATGTGACTTTTGGGCGACTCGACAACACGGAGCCAGTCTCTTTGTGGCAGTGCTTGTCCTGCTGAATGATGTGTAGATGGGTAGATGGCCAGCAAATGACGGGCAGATTTCGTGTTGATGCCAGTTGAGAGCCTTCTGCAAGCGTGACTGTGTAGTGCTTCCTACACAGCGGTGCCATAGCCAAGAAACAACTATAGGTATTTTACAAAGGCCGGCAGAGCACTACTGTCATATCTAATTAGCTTTCACGATATGTACAGCTGCCAGATTCTTCCCGCAGCTGCAAGCGCATTGCATGTTTTGATTTTAGTGGCGGCTCAATGATGTGTAGGGTCTGGGTGTAAGCTAGAGGTTTCAAGGCCAAGAGTTGCATCTTGATGTAGCAACCCAGCCCGCGGCCTCAGGCCCGCCCAAGCAGAATATGGTGTCTGAGTCTGTCTGAGAACCGCGAAAGGGTTGGCGTCCCTTTGCTTGCTTTTGTTTGGAAGCAACCCACTCTGGTGACTTTGGGTGTGTCTGAACTTGCTTCGACAAAAGTTCAACGCGCGACTTTGCCAGGATTGGGTTTCCCAGGACGACGAGCTGGGTTATGTGGCGCCTTCGGCGGGGAGGAGTCGACTTAGCGAAAGGCTTCCGGCCGATGGTTCTCGGCTAGGTACGCTTTCACCAAGTTCGATGTGTTGAGCCAAACGCTCAATCCGTAGGGTATGCGCAGGGCCGGCTTTTAGCCCTTGGAAGGCCAGAGATGCACGAACAAGGCCTTGATCCACTCACCGAGTTTTTGGGCCCTGAATATTGGGAAACCTCGGTTCTTCGGTTTGACTAAGCTCACTGCAACCACCAATTAGGTCATGCAAGGCTTCTGCCTAGCCCAAATCTCTAGCAACAAGTACAGCTGCATCGCACTCAGCATTTGTGGCCATCACTGGCGTCAATCCCTGGAGTCCAATTTTGGGTGTTTCCCCCAAAGGGCAGCATGAAGGGTTGGTGCAGAGTCCACTATTTATTCACTGAGTTTGTATTTTTTGTCGGATGCGCGCGGCGTTGCTCTTGGACGCCTCATCTTTCCAAAGGGACCTTGGTGCCGTTCGGTCGACGCCCGGAGTTGGACTCCCAAAGCCATGGCTTTGAAGAGGTGAGAACAAGGATAGCACGCCTGAGAGAGGTCCTGCATTCAAGCAGCTCGCATGGCAACGCCGGTGAAGCGAGGTAGTTTGCAATGATTCTGATGAACCATCAGGAATTTTCCAGACCAGCGGAGCTGGGGACACAAGTTTCCAGAACCATAACACACCTTTTGGAGGGATTCGGTCAAACACTGTGCCACGCAACCCCACGCAGTGCACGTTTTCGATCGAATTCTACTAAACATTTTTTGACATGAAAGTCATGTTTGGAAAGGAATTTTGTTGACATTCCCACTCTGAATAGAAATTTTAATTGAGTTTTGTCCTCATGAATTATTTTCACAGCTGTTTGTTAAACAATCACAATCCTACTTGATATGAGGAACCTTGAACGCATTTTTTGAGGAGCTTGATGAAGAAGCTTCATAAGAGGCCTTGCAAGGAGCTTCACCCGCAGCTTTAGAAGGATTTGCTCAAGGAGCCTTACAAGGAGCCGAAAAAGGAGCCAAACACGGAGCCTTACGAGTCTTGAGTCCAGAATTTAAAGCCATATTATATCTAAATTCTAACATTTGTTTAATCAATTTCCTACTTGGTGTGGAGTTCCTTTTTCAGCGTATTCTAGGATGAGGTTACTGACTGCGCTGTTTTAGAAGAGTTCAGCACAAGATTGGTGACACCTCCAGCATGAAAATACGTGATCAAATCTAAAAAATAACTTGAGGGACAATGCCCAAAACCAAAAAAACTGAGCTTCTTGTTGATTTTCCGTTCAGAAGGAACCCCCAAAAGGCAAATCCAGCACCTAAACACATCCAATATCAACACACAACACAGCACACACACACACATTTCTGAGGGGAGACTCTTTGTTTCTGTGAGTTGTGTTGTTGTTTGCATTTTCATAAAATAAAACGGCTCAAGCTTTTTTGCTTTTGAACATGTTAAATAAATACACCATGATTTTGTTTTGAAGCAACTGTAAATGTTGAAACCAAACATTCTCCCTCAGATCTTGTTACTTTTGGTATTCACATTTTGTTTTTGTTTTTGGGTTTCCATGTTTTGTTTTTACTGGTTTACCTTGGAATGATTGATTTCTTCATGACATGCACTTGTATGCATTCGGAAGAGTCACATCTAGCTTACGATGGTTTAGTTGCCTTTATGCAAACACACAGCGCTTTTTATACTATGCAAGCGTGGAACGCTAGAATGCACTGTAAACAGCATGCCCAACTCAAAGTGGAATGCCTCCACACCTACACTTTCATGATTGTGCATCTAGACACCAGTGTACAATTCATGAACAACAGGATACCAGGCAGTCTGGCGTTAGAGATGCGTGCTGTCGATACACAAGAAGTATTTGAGAGGACCTCAAAAATCCACAGGTAAACTACGCTTGCCGGGAGAGGGGGCGACCATATGTGTATATATAGAAATACTACGCACATACATATACCTATTACCTGTTACCTATTACGTAATACCTGATACCTAGTACCTAGTAGCTTATACCTAGGATATACCTATACCCGTACCTATCCCTGCACCTAGACATATGCCTATACATGAACATATATCAATACATATGCAAATGCTCATGCATATGCATATGCACATACATACTAGGAATCCTTGACCATTCCCCATGAAAGGCAGGGCTTTAGCCATCACAATCTCAGGTGCTGAAAGGAGAAGAGTTCCACCGGGATGGCTTCAGCGGAGAGCGTCGTCTAATCACCGGCAACGACGCGGTGGAGAGCTTTATTCAGGCCCTGTCCACGCGTGCTCTCACACTGAGGGCCCTTTGGTGCCCCTAGTCGGGTAAACAGGGATGGAAGGGTGGATACTTTTTCTTCTGCATGGTGATCAGCGCAGAACAAACACTGCACTGGCCAGAAGTCTTTCTCCGCGGAATTGACAGATCCGGGTCTCCAATGCGGACGGCGAGTTCCCAAACTGGGAGGCCCGAAACTGGGCTTTGGGTGCGAGAGCGTGGGAAGGAGCGGAAACGAGGGGCAACTCCCCGCATGCATCTCTGAAAAGGCGATCCTGTTCTCATGTTCTCTCCTCAATGAGGCAGAGACTTCACCCACTGTTGACTCTTCTGCTAGAGGGTGGGGATCGTATGAACTTGTGACCCTGTAAGGTGGCCGAGAAAATTTGCCTTCCTGTGGCATGCTGAAATCTCGTCCAAACTCCAGGATCCATCATCACAGCAACTCTTAGCTGCAGCCACTTTGGTAAGGAAATCCAACGCTACAATATGCTATTTCCTCAGGAGCAAACCATTTCGAAGAGTTTGTAGGACACCTTTCTCAGTTGAACTCGAACCAATCATGCTTACAACCAGCACACTATGGAACATGTTGGTCCTGCGCACGCAGACGCCTCCATGCCGGTCATGTTTTGGTAAGGCCCGAGGCTCCGGGAAGCCGCCGGGACCCGGAACTCGGGAATTCCGCGCCAGGGTGGCATGGAGGGCGAGAAAGCTTCAGCAGGGGACCTAGTGGAAAGCACGGAGAAAAAGGGAGGCCAACAAGAAAGGCTTCCTTCATCAACCCTTCGGTCATGATCATTGCGAGAGATCTGTGTCGCAGCAAGCTGCGTTTGTGGGTTGAATCGCGTGGCAAGCTTTTGTGGATGTTTGACGCCCCCCGCATGTGGGCCTCAAGCATAGCAGCATTCTGCTCTGCCAGAGGCGCCAAACCCCCGCCTT